AAAGCACTTACAAAAACACAAAAATTGCTTTATTTTGAGACAAAGAACATTGTATAAAAAAATTCCAGTTGTAGAAATCAGACACACCACAAGTTTATATACAGATCCTGTACACACGGGCCCTGCCCTTACAGCTACACTTTAGGCACAGGTTGGCACAGCCCCCCTGCTGGCACAGCTCTGGGAGTGCTGCCCCAGGATGGGGGAGGGTACAGTGGCAAGCCTCCCCACAGATGGAAGAGGCTGTGGGCCCAAGCATACCACCTGTCCTGTCCCTCCCTGGCTCCCAGGTAGGAAACTGCCTTTCGCTTTTCCTTCAGTCAGTTCATCCTGGCATCCTGGCTCTCTGGGAGGGGCATCTTTGCCAAGCTCGGTGTCCACTCACATGACCCTGGACCCCTTCCAGCTCAGCTCCCACAATGCCCTTCTTAAGAGTCCATGTCTCACAGCTTGTTTCTTTGGCTTAAGGGCAGGAATGGCGGGGGAAGGACTGTCCCCACTTCTTTGCCCGTCTCTCTGAGGTGGAGGCAGGGATGGCACTGCTGACCTCCTTTGGGTTGAAACCCTTAATACTGACCAGCTTTGAGGCTGCTGGGTGGCAGCTTATATGTGTGGTGGGAGTAGTTCCCAGGACTGGGGCTTCAGGAGGGACTCCAGGGCAGGTGAGGGTGCCTGCCCCTGCCTCCTCGACCCAGTTCCAATCCTCAGGCCAGATGTGGCATACACCTTCACTGGGTTTGCAGCAGCAGGAGCGGCAGCAGCAGCACAGCCCAGGCAAGTGGGAAGAGGCGGGGGGCGGCACTGTGACCGATGCTGTGCAGAACCTGCGCCTCCGGGTCGTCTGCAAGGCGAGGGCAAAGGCTCTTAGGTGAGCAGCCCCACTGCTGGCACTAGCCCTCAGCCCAGCAAGGTTTCCTGTACCCAGTAGCCTCAAGCAGACCCCCTTCTGTGCCCCAGGTCCAATTTGTTCCAGCTACCTACCCGCTGGAAGTCTCTTCTCCTGCGGATTAGGATGGGCCTGAGGACTGTGAGCTAAAAGAGAGGGGTGGCCGTACATCAGTTACTGTACCAGGGAGGCAGAGGGACTCCCCCAACCATCCCAGGACATTAGGCCAGGCCCAGCAAAGGGATGGAGGAAGGAGACCCACAGGACCCTGACACTCACTGGTTTTGCCATTGACGGTCACCTTCAACCTCAAGCACTGGTCTTCTTGGTGGTGGATAGGTTTGGCTGCAAGATAAAAACCCACAGGGTGTTGAGGAACCTTTGTTGGAAGAAAAGTGAAGCACAGATGCCTTGGTTTCTGCTAATTTTTATCCCTCTTCTGGCTAAGCTTTGATGCTTATCTTCCTTAGGTTCTGCCCACTTCCTACCCCATGTTCAGCCCCACCTCCCTTCTTTGGAATAAACCTTGGCTTTGGAGATGATGGGGAAAAAGAACAGAGTCACGGCCCCTCCCCACAGTCCATCCTTCACTCCTCCCAGCCAGTTGGGTGGGGCCTGCACAGTATGCTCCCCTTACCCAGCCAAGCTGTACTCCCCCTGCCTAGAACCCGCCCCCCACCCCCCACAGGGTGAGGCCTGGATCCATTCTACACAAAGGTGATCTTACTACTCTTTAAAATCCACCAGTGGCTCTCCACTGCCCTCAGGATAAAGTCCCAACTCCTTAGCACTTCTTAGGCCCCTGTGACCTGCCCTGTCCACCTCTCCAAGCTCAATCTCCCCACTTCCAAGTGTCCCTCCTCCTCTAGCCAGGCGACCATACAGAGTTTTCTGAAGATGTCATGTTCCCTTTGCATATGTCCCCCGGTACATGGCCAACTCCTCTGCTTGTCCTAAGCTCTGAGAAGCCAGGAAGCCTTCTCTGAGTCCCCTTAGCCTGGCAGGCACGCAAGTCATTTTCCAGAGCCCCTGTGCTCATGTCTACCATATCATACTGTTCTGATGGCCTGTTAACCTGTGTCGCCTCCCAGGTTCCTTGAGGACAGGGACCCTGGAGTGCTTTATTTAGCTCTGCGTCTGCAGAGCCAAGCCTAGAGCCCAGTACACAGAAGCTCACTGCACATTGGTAACTTGAATGAATGAAAGCAGAATGCAGGGCGGGAAGGGGTCTTCTGCAGCAGGACTCCCCACTGGGCAGGTACCGAGCATAAGCACCATGCAGTGCGTCCCATCCAGGGAACTCACAGATGTAGTAGTAGCTGTGCCCTTCTTTGAACTCCTTGCCCAGGGTAAAGGGTGTGAAGCGCTGGAACTTCTCTGACAGTTTCTCGGGGCCGTGCCTGGCACTGGGCTGGTTGCACTGCCAGCGGACCTGGTCCTTGGATTGGGGTTGGCACAGCTGGTACTGTTCTCGTTCCACCAGGTACAGTGTGTACTGCTCCATGGCAGCCTCTGCCACGGAGTCATCCTCGTAGTGAGGACAGACGATGTCCAGGTAGTCATTCAGCCGGACGTGCACGGTGTAGGGCTCGTTCCGGAACCTGCGCATACGCAGAGGGAGAGGAGACAGGCGGTCCCTCAGAAGCCAGACCAGAGCCTCCAGCCTCCATGTGTACTGACTGACCCCTCACAGGTCACGCTGGACCCCCGCACAAAGATGTTTCAACAATCTCAACTCCCAATATTTACTGATCTCGCTCCCTTAAATATCTTCCCACCATCTCCAAACATCCCCCCACCGTCATTGTCTCCCATAATCCTCTAGCTAGCATCCACTTAGGCTCTTTCAGGTAACAAAGCACTTCCCATGATCCCCCTGATATTTACCCAGGGATGGGCTTCTAAATATTTCCTCAGCTCGCTCATCATTCTCTTCTACCCATAAATATCCCCCCCAATGTATACTACCAATTGCTCCTTTAAATGCGATTAGACCTCAGCCTGAGACCCTACTGGTCCATTTCACCATCAGGATCCAAGTCACACCCTTTGTCTTTACCAGGTTAGCACTCAGCCACAAGACCGCTATGTCTTTACTTCTCTTACTCCTCACATTTTGTCCTCTGACCCACCGAGTATATCTCACATTTCTCAGCTTCACTTTCCCCCCAAAGCCTGAGTACACCCAGGCCCACGGATAATGCCCAACTCCTTTAACTTAAATCACTTTCATCAGTTCATTCATTCTCAAGTGTCCCTTTCTAGCTACTCAAATTTATGCTCAGGTCTCCTTGTGCACGTCTCTCAAAGCACCCCAAAACATTCCTGTCCCTTTATCTCCAGAAGCCACACACTCACCTCCCAAGAGGTGAGCTGCAGAATACCGGGGTTCTCAGATCTGAGGCTGCCTCTCCCCTCCCCTCCTCCTAAGGTGGAGCCAGCTCCCCTCCCCCAGCCCACTGCCCCCAGGCTCCGCAGGCTCCAGCCAGACTGCCCACCGGCCCCTCCCCCCAGCTCCAGACACCTGGCTCCAGTCTGGGTGGGGTCCTAGGAGGGGGAAAAGTGCCTCCCCACCTCCCTCTCCAAGCTGGTCAGCTTCTCTGAATTCCCCCAAGCACTGCCAACTAGACACTCAGCAGAGCTGGCTGCCAACTTGCTGCAAACCAAAGCCCTGGGTATGGGTGGTGGGGGGAGGGGCAGGAATTAGGCTGAGGCCTCTGAGGTGGGCACCCACTGCCCAGTCAGCAGGAGCCCTGAGAGGCCTGGCTTTGCAACCGAATGCCAGTGCTCCAGCTAGCTTCCCAGGGCCCCTCCCCCACCCTAGGGAAAGCGAGTGAAAGAGAAAGAGAGGGAGGGAGGGAGTGAAAGAGAAAGAGAGGGAGGGAGGGAGGGAGAGAAGGAGAGAGAG